AAGCATGTTTACAGGGATTTCCTTAGTCCATCTAAATAAAGCAATTGTGGTTAACCAAGGACAGTGTTGTTTATTCAGCTTTTTGCACAAAGAATTCAGTTATGAATATCTCAGCATTCTAGTGTTCTTGAATAAAATGTTCCCAGGACCTTCTGTTCCCAGATACAATCCTGTTGACTTTGCTTTGGTCCAAGCTGCAGACCACAGATATCTTGTTGGCATCAGATGAGAGGAATATCTGGTTCCCTCCTGTACTATGCCATAACTTGACCTTGGCAAGTTGGCAAGAGCAGCTCAAACAGGCAATATGTATAGTGGGGGTGGTCTTTCATCCCCCATTTTTCTGTTAACTGAATAAAACCCTTTATTCATGGTTCCTCAGTTTCCATTTATTTTAATTGCTGGTACTGCTTTGTAAAAATTAGGGCCTGAACAACTGACAAGCGTTCCTTCATGGACTGTACTAGTCTATTCAAAATGCAGGGACCAAGGATGAGAATTAAAAGAAATATAATAAGCAGTCCCATGATGGTGGCTATCAGGGTACTGAACCCCTTAAACCATCCTTGTCGTTGAATTCTCCATGCTGGTTCAGGCGGGCCTGGTTCAGTGTCCGATGTTCTGGTTGTGCGGCCTTCACGTGGGACACATGGATCCAGTCAGCAATCCCATCTACTTTCAAGGTGGTGGGAGTTGTCAGGAGCATAGTGTAGGGGCCCCTCCAGCAGGGCTCTAGATTCTTTGTTTGATGTCTCTGGACACAGATGAATTCGCCAATCTGGAAGGAATGAGGTTGGGGCGTGCCTTTCACCCCTCTCAGTAGGCAGCTGCCAGAGGATTCCAGACCTCTTGTTGGACTATCTGTAAGGCCCGAGATGTGCCTGCATGGAGGGAGTATTTGCAAAATCAGAAATGTTGGCATCAAAAAACTCAATAGCTGGTGGTGGGCTACCATATAAGATTTCAAAGGTAGTTAAGCCTGGGGGCCTGGGGCATTCCTGGCCCGATAGAAAGCTAGTGTCAGGAGTTGTACTCAGTTTGTCGAGCCAGTTTCAAGCATTAAATTGGATAAAGCCACATTAATGGTTCTATTCATTCTTTCTACGTGTTCTAAACTCTGGGGTCTATATGTACAATGTAATTTCCAGTTGATCCGCAGTTCTTCTGATCTGAGCAAGAAGCCATAGAACAAACCCCTTTTATTTCCTAAAGTCTTTTTAATTTTTTAATATTCTGGGCAGCCTGATCTACAGATAGAGTTTCAGGACAGCCAGTATTGAAAATCTGTGTTGGAAATTCAATAATGAAAAAAAATTAATTAATGAGAAAAATCTACTACAAAATGACAAGAGTAGTAGTAGTTATAGTTGTAATCATAATCATCCTCCTCAGTCCTCCTCCTCATCATAATAACAATTAAGATTTTGAACTATCCAGCCAGGTTTATAAAGTGTGTTCCAAGACAGGAATTACCAAACCCTGTCTTGAAAAACCAAAATAAATAAATAAATAAATAAATAAATAAATAAATAAATAAGAAAATAAAAAAAGAAAGAAATGCATGTTTCTGCTTTGGATTTAAGAACACTCTAACCATTGAGGAATTACCCTTGTCAACCAAGACTCACTAGCCAATCAGGGAATCTGGGCCCACAGGCCAATCTAAGGTTTTACAGGAAATTTTTGGAGCCATGCTGCAGGTTTGATTTTATAGCACAGCAGGCACCATTGGATTGGTTGCTCTGCTGTGAGTGCTGCTGTAGGAACTGTGAGGAGCATGGAAGAGCAAGGAAGACATAGAATGGTAAGCAAGGGAATGCTCTCCTAAGATGAAGAGGATGATATTTAGAAGCAGAGACTGTGAGGCAGGGACTCCCTGAGACTGGTTGGAAACCTAATGACTCATTCAAATTTCCATGAGATCCCATGTAGTCCTAGAAGTTATGCAGATCAGGGTGCAGAATGTGATTACTTTAATTTTGGGGCTTAATAAGAGGAATGCATTTCAATAAGGGAGCTTTGTGTGTAAACATTTTTTGTAGTCAACACCAAAATGCTTTTCCTGAATATGGAAGGGAAGTATCAGTACATGGAGGGGCACAGTTTGCCCAGTGCATTCAAGATGTTCTTAACTTCACATCTAACATTTCAGTATAAGATGAATTAGGAGTTAATTTTATACATACTGTAGATGGCATTCTTTTTATTTCTTTATATATTTATATTTATTTATATTGTACTTTAAAAATCTTAATAAAAAGATGATATTTTACTTATAGATCCCAGCTCCCTCTCCCTCCCATCCTCTCATACCCCCCATCACATCCCCTATCCACTCCCTAGGAAGATCAGCCTACCAAGAAGCATCATCACAATCTGCCCTCCCATGGCTGTAGGCTAAGGGAGATTCCCCATTTGGAGTCAATTTGGTATATCCTGCAAATGCCAATAATTTAATTTATTTTTTTATATTTATTTAATTTATATGTTTTTGTGCCTGGGTTTATTGATTTTTTGTTTCAAATAAAGTGTTTCTTTGTAAAGGTTAGGAAATTGACCTGGGACTTGCTCTGTATAGCAGGTTAGCCCCAAGCTCATAGAGATGCGCCTTCCTATGCCTGCGTAGTGCTGGGATTAAAGGCATGGGTCACTAAAGTCATACATAAATGACATTCTTGTGTTGGATAATCCTCCACCAATAAGCTATGATGAGAAAAATTAGAATTGTTGTTACAAAATATTTACCAATTCTTACAGGATACTGAGTAACACAAAATAGAATTTAGCTGAGGGAGTGATGCCTAAAAAATAACCCAAAGATGAGTAGTACAGTAACCAGGTCTGTTACAGATTAGGATACTAAAATACACATTTGATCTCCAGTCTTGTGCAGACAGTTATCTCCAAAACATGATAAAGGAGACACCCCTGATTTATAAAGAGTAACCAGCCCCATCCTCATCCAATAGAAAATGGCTTTTTATAAGCTGCTCAAGGGGTAACAAATAGGTCACAGTGAACATTAAAGCCTGGTGTGCCATAAAGTTCTAGTTTTCATATACAGAAAATTTTTTCTGCCAGATGGAAAAGTTGAGACCACGTGACACCTTTGTGCATCACAGGGTTGCTTTTGTGTTTTGTGGGGACATTCTCTGATAAACTGTAAGTTTGGCTTCTGGAATTTATGAACATCTCATTCAAAATTCAGTTTTTCTTACATGATTTACACAAAGTTTAGAAACTGTTAAAAAGAGGTGATGGGGATCTTCATTCAGCAATACATGATCAGAGTGCTATTAACATTTACCTACCACCCACAACAATGGTGTGATTCAGAAAGTTGAGTTTCTGGGAACAAATATAATTTCTGATCTACAGTAAATTCTAAGGTGTGCATGATGTTGAATTTTACAACTCAACTCTGCGATGATTCATTGTTTCAATTGGTGATGATAACCTCCTTCATGATTGGAGTCTGGCCATGTTTCCCTTACAGTTAAATGCTACATAACCTCTTTATTGTGACAGTTAGCTATTTCTGACTTATTTATTTAATTCTTTAAATTATTTAAACGACAGAGAATGCCATCACCGATTACGATTAATTAGGGTGCAAATATCTGTCATGGACAAGGTTAGGAAAGTTGTAGACATGGGTAGAGCATTTTTTGAATGATCTATGCATCTCACAGAGTACTACGGATGCTGGGTGATAAGATTCCAGAAGACTGCAGGGTGCCCTCTGAGAAGTACAAGGACTTCACCAAGGCCGGCATGGTGGTCTAAGTGTTGACTACCTGCTCTTCCTCCATAGCTTCACATCAGTTGTGACCTATGATGAGAAGAAGTAGTGACATAAGGAGGTCGACACCATCACCAAGACCTGGCAAAAGGATGATGACCCAGAACACGGAAGAACATCTCTCTTTCAGTTCTGCTGGTGATGCCCCTGCTGCTGCCATCTTTTCAGCTGATATCAACATTTTGGCTACTACTGCTATGCCAGGATTGGGCCCATTATCTCAGTTCCTGCCGCACCACAACAGAGATTCGTGTGCTGGTCATGATGGCAGGCCAGCAGAATTCTTCAGGCAAGAAAATATGATGATCTGACGATTAACCTATGGAATTTTTAAAATCCGTGATGACAGCATACTTTTCCATATCTGGCAAGTCTGCCCAGGAATTGATGATACAAAAAAGGTCAACAACTTACATAAAGATGTAATTATTAAATTATTTCATTATATAATCTGGGAAGCCTGAAGTTTGGTGTCAAGTGTGACAGACGATCTAACTATCTGATTATTTCATTATTCAAATCTGTCTTTTTCTACTACAGGAAGAATGGAGTCTGCATCCACCGTGTTAGTGTTAAACTGTCCCTTGTGATTTCATTATTTATTTATTTCTTGATATCAATGTTGATATCATTTTGTTATCGCTCTAGGGATGAATTGTGAGAAATTATCTCTTTATTCATTCATTTTGAAAGACCTAAAAAGTAATGTTAATGATGGACTAACCTAGAAACCAATATCTGTTCCTTGGAATTTGCTAGCTTCCTCTCACAGGGCCCTGAGATAAGAAGAATTCACACTGCCCCTCCTTTCCTGTGAGTCAACAGGTGGTAAATAGGGTCAAGAGATAGCTGTAACTCTGGTTTGCCCAGACAAGATTAATTATCACACCTGAGGCCCTAAGGCCTGCTGACCCTAATAGCAGACCATCCGGCCTCCAAGGGTCATGTACTCAATGGAAAGAGGGTCCCACCCCCTCCCTAAGCTTGTGGGTTTGCCTTTATAAACACCTGGGCCCAGGGGGAGGGGGCTTCTCCCTAGCCTGTGTGCGTTTGCACAAACGCTTCCTGTTCATTAAAGCCTCTTGCGTTTTGCAGCAACTGGACATTGAGTTCTTGGGGTATCGACTGAACCTAGAAGACTCCTCATTTTGAGGGTCTTACAATTTTATTCCTCAAATCTGTGAGAAAGAATGCAATGATGCCATTGCTGCAGACGCGGAGAGAGAAGGCGCCGCCCTGTGCCATCACACACAGAGGACCGCCCGGCCAGGCCCTGCAGTGCATGCAGGGAGTAATACTCCCTGGCAGTGGCCTTGGGAACAGAGGCTTCATGCAGAGAAGCAGCCATCTAGGTAGGACACTGAAGGGCGCTGGCGCACCAGTGAGGACACAGACAGCGACCACTGTAGGCATAGCAAAGGACTCTGGGAATCATATTCCCCTTCCATCCTGAGACGGGCTCTCCAAGACTGCGGGGAAAATTCCACAGTGTGGGAAGGGGAGGGGATGTCGTCGGCCAGTGACATCACAGGGAGCTAGGTCCTGGGAAAAGTAGTCCCGGAGAGCAGCAGTGAAGACAGAGGCACCATTTCTGTCATTCTTTTTTGAGGGGGCGTGGCTTCCTTTCCTCACGTGACCCCATCCTTCCCCCGGAAACTCCGCCCACAGGCCCCATAGGCTCCGCCCCGCCCCGGATGGCCCCGCCCTTGCACCTGTCTTCCAGGGCCTGTGGCTTCCTGGCCATTTACCACCTGGGCGTGGCTTCAGGGGCTGTAGGCACATGGGGCGGGGCTGCTGGGTGATGTCAGGGGCTAGGCAGGGGCGTCGGGCGGGGCCCTGTTGGCAGCCATGCTGCTGACTTCCCCTGAGCAGCTGGAGGTGAGTGTGGGCAGGGCACATGTGACATGTTACTTGTGACATGTTACATGTCAGGGGTCACGTGTGTGGTTCCCGACCTTCCCACAGGCCTGCACAAGCTTTTGCACACAGCCTGGCCGAGGATACCAGGCAGCAACCACTGGGCGTGGCCACACCCAGCTTCCACCTCATGGAGCAGCTGAGGTGCATGGGGGCGTAAGGGGGTGGGGTGGGGCACAGGTCACATGGTACGTGTTACATTTCATGGGTCACGCATGTGGATCCCATGTCAGGGGTCACAGGTCACATGTGTCCCCCCTCCCCCATACCATCAGGGATGGCCTGGACCAGATCCTCCCAGCCCATGCTCACGTCCTGGTGCAGGGCCGACTCTATGTGTCCTTGACTGCAGTGAATACATTCCAGAACTGCCTGGTGTCCCAGTTCCTGACCCATGAAGACCTCATACAAGTGAGGGGGCGGGGCTGCAAGTGTAAGAATGTGTCATGTTCCGTGTTTCCTACATGTATGTTTCATCTGTGTTTGCACATGCGAGTCGCATGTTTGCACATACGTGTATCGTTTTGCTCATGTGTGTCTCATGTTTCCCCTCATGCGTGTCCTGTTTCTCCTCATGTGCAGGTCCTTCTCGCCAGCTGCTTCATCCCCATCTACTCAAGGCTGAAGCACGTGGAGTTCCAGGGTCAGATGGGCGGGGCAGTAAGGGGCGGGGTGGTTGGGTGTGGTCACGCGTGTCTATGACAGGTGACCCCGAACACGCGTGTATATTGTCGCGATTCCTCACATGTCCCCCGGCCCCCCATCTCCCCAGGCCTGGGCAGATGGTGCCCTCTCGTGCAGCCTCCCCCTGCCCCCTGGTGGTCGCACCCTCACCATATCCCCATTCTGTGGACGCCATGGCATCTCGCCCCGAGACCCTGGCCAAGGTCTTGGCTCTTGCGTGCACGTGACTGGACAGGACGTGGAGGTGAGCCTTGTGGGGCTTCCGTGGCCACTCCTGTCACAGCATGCTCACACAAAACTCACTTCTGGACCAGCCCACACACACTTCCGGCTCCACCCACACTCATTTCCGGCCCCGCCTAGATCTCCACCTCCAATGTTGCCTGCCTGGCCCGAGCGCTCTTCCCGCTGTCCCGTGCAAGCCTGGAGTCGTTGCTGCACCATGATGGATTCTGTGACGCCGTGAGCTTCCTGCGCTGCGTGGGCCGCTTCTGGTGAACAGGAGTGTGTGCACACATGTATGTAACTGAATAAATGAAGTCCCTGTGATTTACATGCTTGTCATTTGTTTTACAGGCATGTTGTGCCTGTGGCTTCTGTGATCCTAATACGCCAGCTCCACAACACTTATGTATGTCGCGTGTACACATGACATCCCGACTGGCGCCGCCTCCATTACATGCTGTTCACCTATGGAGTCATGGTGTTTCCATGTGAGCTCATGCGGTGCACATTGTAACCTGTGTACATGGCATGGGAGCACGTATAGTTGACATGTGAGCCTCTCTATATGTGAGTTTGTGCAGTTGACTTATGAGTTCATGTTTTTGCCTTGTAGGTCCATGTAGTTAACATGTGAGCCCAGGTAGTTAAAATATGAACCTGTGTACTTGACATGTGAGCCTGTGTAGTGAACATATGAGCCCATGTAGTTAACATGTGAGCCCATGTGCACAGCATGGTATTCATGTACTTACCATACATGGCTATGTACTTACATTATGGCTTCATGTACTTACTGTGAGATCCCATGTAGCTAGCATGTGTAACTGGGAAGTTTGCATTGGTGTAACATGCGAAGTCATGTGGGCAACATCTGAGCAGCTGTAGCAAACATAGGAGCCCTCAGAGTTTACATACGAGTTCATGTAATTAACATGAGGACATACAGTAAACGCATGAATTCACATGGATAACATGTTTATATTTGCTTTACCAGGGTGTGGTTGGGGTTGTGGGGGAAATAAATATGTGGGTTTCATATTTTCACTTGTTCCACCTATGTTACATGTATGATATGCATGTTTATTTTTAGTTGTTTGTTTTTATTTTCTGTTCCTTGACTTAGGCCAGGTCATGTGTGTGAGGGTGGACACAGGGGAGGGCAGGGCATGCAGGGAGAAAACATGAAGGAGGGAAAAGTAAAACAAAAAAAAGGGAAAGGACCCACGAAACAATAACGGTGGAGACGAACAACAACAACAATAATAATAGTGGGGAAAGAACTGGCTTAAATACTGACTCACAGCACAGTAGAAAACTTTTTTTTTTTTTTGCATATAGAGTATTTTTTATTTAATTTTATATAACAAAGTCCAATTAAATGAAAACAAACATTTATACACAATATTTGGGAATTTGGGCGTCGTTCTTTCCAAACTACTTCCTGCTGGTAAGGGGCGCTGTCTTGGGGGATTCGAAGAAGATTCAGATATCCTAGCTGTAGTCTGTAGGGCTGTTTTGTCCAGCTGTTTGGAATGTAGGATCAGCTTGTACTCTGTTTCAGGCGGTCTGGTGTGATCAAACCACATTAGTCTGGAAGGAATCCACATCTTTTCATTTTCTGTGGAAACAAAAATAGAAATACTTTTCCCCAGTAACTTGTTCTTCAACTTAAATTTTGGAGTCAAAGCTTTTTTTTTTATTTTATTTTATTTTTTTTTATTTTACATGTCGATCCCAGTTCCCTCTCCCTCCCTCCCTCCCCTCTAGCCCTCCCTCCCTCCTTCCCTCCCTTTTGCCCTCTCTACCCTCTCCCATGCACTCTAAACTCCCTCCCCTCTCATCCCCCCACCACAATACAATATGTAGGGGAATGCCATCCAGTTGGGGTCATGTAGATCTGACAGGTCCTGTGAAGTAGGGACTAGGGCTTCTCTCCTATCTCTAGAATAAGGCAGTTATCCCTCCATGGGGGATATGTTTGCAAAGTCCTTTTGTGCACCAGGGATACATCCTGGCTCCACTGTCTGAGGTCTCTTAGACTGCTCAGACCTTCAGGCTGAGACCCATATTCAGGGGGGTCCGAGTCAGACCCCTTTTGGCTTCCCAGCTATCAGTCTAGTGGCCCTTAGCTCCTCCTTGTTCAGGTAAGCTGTCTCTATGTACTTCTACCGCATGGTCTTGTCCTCTCCATCTGCTTCTGGGTTCTAGTTTGACTCAGTGTTTATGTATGGGTGTTTGCTCCTGTTTTCAACAGGCATTATTTGAGGACTCCATGGAGAAGTTAGTTGTTGATCTCACTCTCCGGGAAGGGCATTTATGATAGCCTTTCCACGGAAGCTGAGATTGTTAGTTGGGAGCAGTCTTGTAGTTCCCTCGACCTTTCTTTGTGTTCAACTTTATCTTCAAACCAATATTGGCTCCCTCTTTTATGTTCTCTCTCTCTGTCTCTGTCTCTCTCTCTCTTTCCTATTTTCCATTCCTAACCAGGCTCTATTCTCCTGGTCGCACATGCCTTCCTCTCCTCCCTCTCATTTTCTCCTACTTCTCTCTCCATTAGCTGTCCTCCCCCACTATACCTGAGGTCTGGGGGACTTGTCCCTTCCCACTTCTGTGAGGGACTTTATATGAATCTCTTAGAATACAACTTGTATCCTAGTTCCTCTGGTGATGTGAATTATAGGCTGGTGATCATTTGATCTAGGTCTAAAATCCATATATGAGTGAGTACATACTGTGTTCCTCTTTTTGTGACTGGGTTACCTCATTCAGGATGGTTTCTTCAAGTGCCATCCACTTGCCTGCGAATTTCAAGATACCATTATTTTTTTCTGCAGAGTAGTATTCCATTGTGTAGATGTGCCACATCTTCATTAACCATTCTTCAATTGAAGGGCATCTAGGTTGATTCCAGGTTCTTGCTATTACAAATAGTGCTGCTATGAACATAGTTGAACAGATGTCTTTGTTGCATTGATGTGAATCCTTTGGGTATATGCCTAAGAGCGGGATTGCCGGGTCCTGCGGTAAACTAATTCCCATTTTCCTGAGGAACTGCCATACTGATCTCCAAAGTGGCTGTATGAGTTTGCACTCCCACCAGCAGTGGAGGAGTGTTCCATTTTCTCCACATCCTCTCCAACATAAGTCATCACTGGTGTTTCTAATTTTAGCCATTCTGGCAGGGGTAAGATGGTATCTCAAAGTTGTTTTGATTTGCATTTCCCTGATAGCTAAGGATGTGGAGCATTTTCTTAAGTGTCTTTCAGCCTTTTTGATTTCCTCCATTGAGAATTCTTTCTTCAGTTCTGTACCCCATTTTTTAATAGGGTTATTTGGTGTTTTGTTGACTAGTTTCTTGAGTTCTTTGTATATTTTGGAGATCAGCCCTTTGTCGGATATAGGATTAGTGAAAATCTTTTCCCAGTCAGTGGGCTGCCGTTTGGTCTTCTCAACTGTGTCCTTTGCCTTACAGAAGCTTCTAAGTTTGAAGAGGTCCCATTTATTAATTGTTTCTTTCAGTGTCTGTGCCCCTGGAGTTATGTTCAAGAAGCGGTCTCCTATACCAATTTGTTCAAGGGTACCTCCTACTTTCTCTTCTAAGAGGTTCAATGTGGCTGGATTGATGTTGAGGTCTTTGATCCATTTGGACTTGAGTTTTGTGCATGGTGACAGACATGGGTCTATCTGCACTCTTCTACACACCATCATCCAATTGTGCCAGCACCATTTGTTGAAGATGCTGTCTTTGCCCCATTGTATAATTTTAGCTGTTTTGTCGAAAATCAGGTGTTCATAGGTGCGTGGATTAAAATCAGGATTTTCAATTCGATTCCATTGGTCTACCTGTCTATTTTTATGCCAATACCAGGCTGTTTTCAGAATTATAGCTCTGTAGTAGAGCTTAAAGTCAGGAATGGTGATGCCTCCTGATGTTCTTTTATTGTATAGGGTTGTTTTGGCTATTCTGGGTCTTTTGTTTTTCCATATAAAGTTGATTATTATCCTTTCAAGGTCGGTGAAGAATTGTGGTGGGATTTTAATGGGGATTGCATTGAATCTGTAGATTGCTTTTGGTAAGATTGCCATTTTTACTATGTTTATCCTACCTATCCAAGAGCATGGGAGGTCTTTCCATTTTCTGGTATCTTCTTTAATTTCTTTCTTTAGAGTCACAAAGTTCTTATTATATAGATCTTTTACTTGTTTGGTAAGCGTTACACCAAGATACTTTATGTTGCTTGTGGCTATTGTAAAGGGTGATGTTTCTCTGATTTCTTTCTCTGCCTCTTTGTCGTCTGAAAAAAATAGGGCTACTGATTTTTTTGAGTTTATCTTGTATCCTGCTAGTTTGCTGAAGGTGTTTATCAGCTGTAGGAGTTCCCTTGTAGAGTTTATTGGGTCGCTTATGTAAACTATCATATCATCTGCAAATAGAGACAGTTTGACTTCTTCCTTTCCAATTTGGATGCCCTTGATCTCCTTTTGTTGTCTTATAGCATTAGCTAGAACTTCTAGTACGATATTGAAGAGATATGGAGAGAGAGGTCAGCCTTGTCTTGTTCCTGATTTTAGAGGAATTGGCTTAAGTTTCTCTCCATTCAGTTTGATGTTGGCAGTTGGTTTGCTGTATATTGCTCTTATTATGTTTAGGTATGTTCCTGTTATCCCTGACCTCTCTAATACCTTTATCATGAAAGGGTGTTGAATTTTATCGAAGGCTTTTTCTGCATCTAGGGAGATAATCATATGGTTTTTCTTTTTCAGTTTGTTTATATGGTGGATCACGTTGATAGATTTTCGTATGTTAAACCATCCCTGCAATCCAGGTATGAAGCCTACTTGATCATGGTGGATGATTTCTCTGATGTATTTTTGAATTCGGTTTGCCATTATTTTATTGAGTATTTTTGCATCGATGTTCATCATTGGTTTTTTAGTTCCATGCTCCACATGGAACCTTCTCTAAAATCGAGCACATACTAGGAGACATAACAAACCTCAACAGATACAAGAGAATAGAAATAGTCCCCTGTATCTTATCAGACCACCATGCTTTAAAATTGGAATTCAACAACAATACAAATAGCAGAAAACCTGCAAACTCATGGAAACTTAACAATGTGCAATTGCACCACTCCTGGGTCAAAGAAGAAATAAAGAAAGAAATTAAAGACTTTCTAATATTCAACGAGAATGAGGATACAACATACCCGAACTTATGGGACACCTTGAAAGCAGTGCTACGAGGGAAGTTCATTGCACTAAGTGCCCAT